TATCCTTAGAACCAATTGGTCTACCACGTTTTAAGCGTGGTCCAGCCTCATTTGCCCTAACATTTTGTCATATCGGGACATCAACTCGAACTTGAGCATTAGCAGCTGAGATATATGATTTAGTAACCCGTGAAAGGTTAGTAAATGCATCCGGCAATTGATTTGCAATATTCTGCAAATAAATTATCTTTTGAACTTCTTGCTCGCATTGATTTGTTCGAGGATCTAAATGAGACAGTGAAAGTGAATTTCAATCTATCTCATTTCGCAATTGCTTTTGTTCTCCCCCTAATGTTGGGTATACTGATTCATCAAAATGACAATCAACAAACCTTGCCGTAAATAAATCTCCAGTTCTAGGTTCTAAATATTTTATAATAGAACGACATTCATACCCAACATATATCCCCAACCTTCTTTAGGGACCCATTTTTGTGCGTTGTGGTGGAGCAATTGGAACATATACCGCACAACCAAAGATTCTAAGATGGGAAATGTTTGGCTCCTGACCAAAAACCAATTGTAATGGGGAGATGTCATGATTACTGGTTGGCCTTATGCGCCGCACAAGTGCCGCTACATGCAAAATAGCATGCCCCCAAACCGAAACAGGCAACTTTGTTCTCATCAGCAATGGTCTAGCTATCAATTGAAAACGTTTAATCAATGACTCTGCTAAACCATTTTGAGTATGAACATATGCAACAGGATGTTCAACTGTTATTCCAGTGGACACACAATAATCATTAAATGTCTGAGATGTAAACTCACCAGCATTATCAAGACGAATTGTTTTTATTGCATAATCTGGAAATTGTGATTTTAACCTTATTATTTGAGCCAACAACCTCGCAAAAGCCATATTGCGAGTTGATAATAAGCACACATGAGACCATCTTGTAGATGCATCTATCAAGACTATATAATATTTAAATGGTCCACACGCAGGGTGAGAGATTCCACTCTAACCTTAGTCGTTGATGGTTTGATAACCAACTTCCCTTGTGAACAAGCAGCACAAGAGAATTCCTTTGATTGAAGAACATTTTGGTTCTTCAAACTATGCCTATGTGAATTCTCAATTATTCTGTGCATCATATTATAATCGGGATGGCCCAACTGGTCATGCCAAATGATAAAATCATTAGAACCAGTAAACCTTTTGTTTACTATGACATGTGATTCAACCGTACCAATATTTGTATGGTACAACCCAAAAGATAGTGCAGGCAATTTTTCATGCACATTTTTCTTCTTCGCATTTATTGTAGTAATATAAAGGTATTCAACATTTCTTTCATTCGCAGTCTCAACATGATAGCCATTTTGACGAATAACCTTGAAACTTAACAAGTTTCTATGAGACTTACTACAATACAATGCATTATCAATTACCAATAATGTTCCTCCAGGTAGTAATAAAGCTGCTCTTCCAGAGCCCTCAATCAATTTTGTACTACCAGATATTGTATTAACATATGCATTTTTCATTACCAAATGAGAGAAATATTTCTTTTCTCTTAGTATCGTATGAGTTGTGGCACAGTCCAGAAGATACATATCTCCATTACTTATCTTGGATCCAACTAAAGACTAGGAAATTTTATTTATCTTCATAAAAATAAAAATACATAATAAGAAGTATGAAACTTAACAAAAGAAAATTTAAGTACATGAACTTTAAGTAAGACATTAAAAACACATAATATTATTCATTTCCCAATTCAATTATCAATCTTCAATTGCGATCCCCAAAGAAGTCCTCAGCTTCTAGATGAGTAATATCATCGAGCCCATCAAAGCATCATCTTTCAATGCTAAATTTGCCTCAACATTCTCATCATATTTTTGAGAAGACCCTGCCTGAGCATCATTTTTTAGAGTCAAATGTGACTCCACTCGGGCATTAGAAGAGGAGGCACCACCTTTATTCCCTTTCTTTTTAAAGAAATTTTGATACAGCCTGACAAAATGCTCAGGTGCCCAACATTCATTTTTCCAGTGACCTTTAAGGCCACAACGATGACAGTGATCACCCTTGCCTTTTGAAGGATTATTTTGAGAACCCATATTGTTCTCTCTTTTGTTATGACCACCATCTCGACGATTATTATATCGTCTTTTGCCTTTGCCACGTCCACGCACATTATCATGGCCCCGATTATTTTGTCTTATTTCAGACTGGTCGTGTGCTTCTACTCCGTGGGCCTCCGGTAATGGAGCACTTCCAGTGGGACGGGCTTCATGATTTTTCATTAAAAGGTCATTATGTTGCTCAGCCACTAGAAGGCATGCAATTAATTCAAAGTATTTTTTAAAACCCTTTTCACAGTATTGTTGCTGTAATATCATATTGGAGGCATGGAAAGTAGTTAGTGTCTTTTCCAACATGTCCTCATCTTTTATAACTTCCCCACATAATCTTAATTGGGAAGTGATTCTAAATACAATAGAGTTATACTCAATTACAGTTTTATAATCTTGAAACCGTAAGTGCATCCACTCATAACGAGCCCTTGGCAATACAGTTGCCTTGAGGTGGTCATACCTCCCTTTCAAACCTATCCACAATTCAAGTGGATTTTTCACTGTTAAGTATTCAACCTTCAGGCTTTCATCAAGATGATGAAGAAGGAAAATCATAGCGTTCTCTTTATCCTGACTTGATGCCTTATTTCCTTCGATTATACAAACACCAAGACCCTTAGCGGTAAGGTGAATTTCAGCATCAAGTACCCATGACAAATAGTTCTTTCCATAAATGTCAAGTGCCACAAATTCAAGCTTTGACAAATTTGACATGATGAAAACTATCATAAAATAATTGAGTTAATATTATGATGTTGGTTTCTTTATAATAAATGATAAAGTATAATATGATTATAAAATATATTATATGTTATATGCATGCACATTGAATGTCTCAAAAACATATAAACTAATGATGTATTGAAACAATAGTTTTAATATGTAATTTTAATTGTTCTACAATATTTATTATTAGTTTCAATAGATATTAACGTCAAATTTTTGTAAGAGTTTCAAGTAATATTTAATACAATAATATTCTTCTTTATGACCCACCAATATACTTATCATAATGTATGAAAATACTTACGAGTTATTTTAACTAGCATATGCTATCATATTACTTAGTAATTAATTTAGAGTTATAAGTAAGTAGCATATAAATAACATGACAATATAAACTTGAAACGTAGTGATTATTATGCCTAGTAAAGTATCATAATAATAGTTAAATCAAGTTATATATGCAGTAATTAAATTATCGATCAAAGATTTATGCAAGTCCTATTAGAGGTGTTATAAACATATAAATGTATACCTAACTCTAAAAGAAAGTTGAACAACTTTTAGGAATTAATTTCGAATTAAGTAGGTCTCAGTTGGTTAGAGACTCGTGCTGATAACGTGTTGTAAAATATTAGCAATATAAAATAATATCAGACAATAAATATATAGACAAGATATATGGGAGATAATGCTTTCTTATTTCTTTCTTCTGTACTTTTCAATTGTATCTTTTATAAAATAATCATCTATTTATAGTACAAAATGTCTCTTCAAAGTTACATGAATTAAATAGTGTTCATTTATTTCATACATGAACTTCAAAGAGAGTTACGGATGATCTTTGAAGAGAGTTTCGGATGACATCCACATTAATGTATTTATAACATAAATTAAATAATAGTTCATGTTAAAAAACAGTTTCCCCAACTGCTACAAAACTTAAGGCAAGTCTCAAAACTTTGCTCAGATAATGAAAGTGTTAGGGTGACAGGTATCATAGTCAAATATTAATTCTCCAGGTAGCGTCCGATTGCAGCTTGCTGATTTTCTCAGCAAGAATATAAGAATAAAAAAACATAGCACACGCACAAGATGTTACATCAGCACGTTTTTTTATATATAATTTCATTCTTCTCTTTCTAATATATATTATCTCATAATTTGATATACTGAATATGACTAAAAGATTAATATTTGTATGTATTAGTTGTAGTTAATTTTTAAGTTAAAAGCACTCATCTCACCTTTATATAAGATCAAGTACTTCAACACCCTTACCTCTCCACAGTAGATATTTTTATTTCCTACTTACATGAGTTCATATCCTTGCTTTTCTATCAATTTCTCTAATTTTGATCTTACTCCCCAATCTGATATTGTGGTGCTGGGTATATGTGTCGGCTTGTGTGTTGTATTTTTGTTTTTATTTGAATATGCATTATTCCCTCCTCGCATCAATTATGTAATATTTATAGAGTTTTTTTTAATCTTCCAAAACTAAATTTTGTTTAGGTCTCATTTGTATGTACTTAATGATAATCTGAATATGAATGGTTGAGAGTTTAGACCATTAAGTACATTTATTTTTATTATATTTAAGCATTTAATTGGTATTTTGTGTAGATCATATCCACCATCACTTCATCCACAATCACCGGCTACAATCACTAACCAGCCACATTTGCCATCACTACTACCATAACCACCACCCCCGTCTTTGTAGCCGCTGCCACCTCTACTATCACTATCAACCTCTACCACGATCAATTCCCACCACCAACAAACTTCGCCATCACAACTAACACCGCCGCTAACTATCACTATACATTCTTCAGTCCCACCATTATTGTCATCACCTCCATCACTATTATCAACCACTACCATTATTGTTGCCAATCTCTATTACCAAACACCTCCATCATCATAACTAGCACCACCACCAACTACCACAAACACATCATTAAGTACCACAACACATACTTCAGCCACTACCATCAACAACACCAACGGCTAACATCAATCAATTTCACCACACATTCCAATAAGGTCACCATTCAAAAAGTTGTAAAATAGATATAAGATTGTGTATAATAAATCCACCTTTTCCTGAACTCCGCTACTCATAGCAAAACTTAGTTCACCGAGCTGCACTTTTCTAGACAGAAGATCCTAGTGGAGTATTAAACATGATGATGATTAATCTTTTTGAAGTGGTCGTTCAGGTAGAAAACAGGGGAGAAATTCCCGTCTATCTGAAAGAGAATTTCCTCTATGCACTGCCAGGCCGCCACTGCCTTGTGATCCGAATTGCCCCGTTCAGCACAAAGGTTATCCCGGCGCATACATTCTTTGCCCGCAACAAGTCCTTCGGGAGGCCCTCTACCGTAGAGGTTCATATAAATGGGAAATTAATTCAGCGCTTGACGCCGCAAACCTTTGTGCATTACCCGAAGATCATCGTTGATGGTTTTACTGATGAAGAGGGATCAACCATCCGTGTGGTTCGTCCTCAACGAGCTCTCGAACTCTCTCGTTTGAGGTACTTTCTTATGAAAAAAACACAAGTTTTATCATATATCATAATCACATTTCAATTTTGAAACGGTGAAGGGCCAAATACCAAAGGGGCAGCGGCTCTACAGCTAAAAGAAAAGGCAGTTGCCCTTAGTTTTGAAAAATTATTGATTCTAAAATTTCCGTGCAAATGGAAAAAAATAATGGGAAAATGCATAACTATCTCCAGCCTATGCCCGAAATCCCAGAGACACACCTAACCTTTACTAAGGTCCTATTACCCCCGAACTTAATTTATGTATAATATTCTACCCCTTTTCGGCCTACGTGGCACTATCCTTGAAAAAAATGTCAACATGTGTTGGGCCCACAAGATAGTGCCACGTAAGCCAAAAAGGGGTAGAATATTACATATAAAATAAGTTCGGGAGGGTAATAGGATCTTAGTAAAGGTTAGGTGTGTCTCTGGGATTTCGGGTATAGGCTAGGGGGTACTTATGCATTTTCCCAAAAATAAGTAATACAAGTTTGAACAATTTAGAATATTATGTCTCAAAAAAAATTAAATAAAAATGCTATAGTATACTTTATCAAAAAATCATTAAAATTTAGGCCTTCATTCGAATATGACTTTAGGCCACTGATGTATTTGAGTCGCTCATGCCTTATACCATTAGAAATACTATATATATCCTTCAGTTATATTTTTTATTCAAATATATCCCTCTTAAAAATTTACCCTAAATTTTAACGAAAGAAAATGTGGCAAGCCCGAAAACAAATGATTCACCCCAAATTTTAGATATCAATTATTTTGAAACCCACTCGTTTAACCCATTAATTTCCTCCGCTTTGAATTTTGTTTAGAATTAAAATAAAAAAAAAGCTTAAGTTAAATTATTTCTATAGTATATAAAAAAGGTACTATCTTTACATGCTGATAACTTCATTTATTCATGTTGTTTAATATGTACTCTATCTTGCTTATGATCAGGGCCTTCAACTTTCTTGCTATGGGATTCAAAGAAAGAAAGGAGGTGTGGCTTGTGAAGAAGTAATAGGACTCAGTCAGATGCATGGATACTGCAGGCTACAGCTAGCATATAAACTCATGCTTTATTTTGACTCGAGGAAAAATTAAACAACATTATGTTTTTGTGTTTTTTTAAAAAAAATTATTGTTATGGAGTATGTGTGGTTCTTTTAATTTCTTCATCTATTTTCCTCCGGCATGTGTATTTTTATAATTAATAAATAAAAAATTAAAAATACGGGTGGTTTTGTTTTGTGTTGAGTTTTTGATTGTCATAGGTCTTATATCTTTATTTTTAAAGATACAAGTAGTTTGGCTTTGAATTTCTTATTGCTAAAACTCTTGTATTTTATTTGGGATGAAATTAGTCATTATGACTTTTGCAAGAATGAAAGAGCAATCACTTACAAAACTAACTTTTAGTGATAATAAATATACATATTAATAAAGAATGCTAATTTTTTTATAGATATTAATTAATTATCATTAGATTTAATGTCGCTACAGGCTTTAAGGACATTTACAAAAAGTGTTAATTGCCACTAAAAATATGTATTTAGCAATAATTAAGTCATTGCATTGATTATTTGCCATTGAAAATTATTTTTGGTGTACTAACGCTCTTCTAGAGTTGTTCTTAAAGTATCCTTTTGGAAAAAGAAAAAAAATACTTTTGGACAAAAGGATACATGTTTAAGACCTACAATCAAACAAAGTTTTCATTTGATGAGTTGTGAAAACTATTCCCAACATCCTTTCCTCCTACTGAAAGTGTTGTTTTTGTGAAATTTAATCCTTAGTTTTTGACACGATCGAATATTTTAACTAATTGTAAACGACACCTAATATGAGATACTATTCACCTTTAGGCAAATCATTTCATTATTAAATTAAACGAATACTTTAAGAGTAAAGTTTTATGAAGGTAACAAGAAATAGTGGAATTACAATTATAGAACTATAATAAAAACCATCTCTATTCTCTCCCAGTAGCCAAATATTGTGTAACTATAGTCAAAATCCACCTGCTTCCATGCCTCTATCACAAACGGAACTCAATCCACCTGCACCGCCGGACGAAGGAGGCCCAACAAACTCGGAACAAACGGAGGTAATCAGACTGACTTTCAAGAACATTTTGGTGGCACCGTACCCAGCTCAAGACGGGTTATCCCACAATGAACCAAATTGCACAGTTGACATGCTCCTAGACGAAACAGAGCAAAATAAGTTGGGAGTAGGAGGAGCACGCCATCTTGAGGACAACATCGTGCTATCAGAAGAGGAAAAAAGGAAGATCTACTGACCATGGGCTTTCTCCATCATCATCAAACTACTTGGGAAAAAAATAAACCACCAATACCTCAAGAAGAAGTTAGCCTTACTCTGGAAGACCACTGAGGAAATTGTTCTAATCGATCTAGGGTATGACTACTACATAGTTAAACTCCTCAAAGAGGAGAACTTGCAACGTACCCTCCAAAACGGACCATGGTTCATCAACGGATATTTTTTATCAGTAAAGACGTGGCGACCAAATTTTGTCGCCTCTGAAGCGAAATAAAACGTTTCCGCCATATGAATAAGACTCCCAGAGCTTCCAACAGAGTTCTACGACCACACCGTCCTAGACAAAGTAGGCAAAGTGTACTAGGCAAACCAGTACAAAAAGAGTCTGCCGAATAACTTAGCACGGGTCCCCCAAAATACTCCTATGAAAAATGTTGATGCAGCAGTTGAGTCTCGAACTCAGAAGCAGAAGGCCAATACTTCAAGGGATTTTGTGGATGCCCCAACGGGGGCTCGATCCGTGATTAACCAAAATAATAAATCCTTATACGTCACAGGAACTAACGTTACCAATACGACATTAATAAATAATAAACAACAGGAAGAAAACCCCAATAACTTTAGCCCCAAACAAACAGTATGGCGGTAGACACAGTAACCTACACGTCCCCTAATACCCCTATGGAAGTGAACAATAAATTCAGTCTATTTATCCAAGGGCCACAATCCAAGGTAAATCCCTCACTGTCCACTCCTAACTATGTGGACAAAATACACTCCACAGCAAATAACAAATGTATAATTAAAAATAAAATAACAAATATAGATATTGACGACAATACCTCTCTACCTCTAAACTTTCCAAGTAGGGACCTCCTACTAAACATAGCCCCCCCCCCCCCCCCCCATTTATGGAAAAAGCCACGGAAAGTTCAAAGTATAGAAACCAAAATATTCCTAGTACAACATTTACTAATATAGGAAATATTCCTCTTAAAAGCCAATTAACCATCCCTATCAACTCCATATCTATAGCGCTACCAAATCTTAAGGAAAATGCCAAGAATCCCCTTTTTAGCTCAACAAAGGAGGCAAACTGCAAATAGGAACTCCCTTCCCTTTACCCCAAGAACTCCTGCGAGCCAAACTCAACCAATTCAAATGAACAACCAAATGTCACTACTAAAAAAATAGTGAATACCGACCTAAAAATTTCCGACCTCAAATGGAGGTCGGTATTTACAAGTAGTCGGTTTTTATGCAAAATAAAGCGGAAAAACCAAATTCCGACCTCCGGAGGTCGGAATTTTTCCCGGAAAAAATGAATTACAATAAAAATACCGACCTCATGGGATCGGTATTTTTTATATTTAATTGAGAAAATAATACCGACATCAAGAGGTCGGTTTTTATTGTAATTCATTAAAAATTTTATAATTCCGACTTCTGAATGTCGGTAGTATGTAATTAAAATACCGACCTCATGAGGTCGGTATTTTTATTTCATCAAATTTCTATTAATTAAAGCGACATCCGGAGGTCGGTATTTTTATTTCATCTTATTACTATTAATTAAAGCGACATCCGGAGGTCGGTATTTTTTTTTCATCTAATTACTTTTAAAAGCGACATCCGGAGGTCGGTTTGCGAAAAGAGAAAAAACCAAATTCCGACCTCTAGAGGTCGGAAATTTTCTCGGAAAAAATGAATTACAATAAAAACCGACCTCTTGATGTCGGTATTAAAAAAATAAATAAATAACAATATTTTATTTTTTCTCAATAGGTTTTGTGTAAAATAAAAAACAAAAAAAATTATAATACCGACTTCCGTATGTCGGTAAAATTAAATAGTAAATATAAATTAATATAAATTACCGACCTCATGAGGTCGGTATTTTTTATATTTAATTGAGAAAATAATACCGACATCAAGAGGTCGGTTTTTATTGTAATTCATTAAAAATTCCGACCTCCTGAGGTCGGAATTTTTTCTCAATTAAATATTTCATAATACCAACTTCCGAATGTCGGTAAAAATTAAATAGTATGTAATTAAAGTACCGACCTCATGAGGTCGGTATTTTTATTTCGACTATTAATTAAAGCGACATCCGGAGATCGGTATTTTTATTTCATCTAATTACTTTTAAAAGCGACATCCGGAGGTCGGTTTGCGATTTGCGGGTAAACCAATTCCGACCTCAAGAAGTCGGAATTTTTCCCAGAAAATGAATTAAAATAAAAACCGACCTCTTGATGTCGGTATTATTTTCTATTTTGATTTAATTTTATTTAAATCGTTATCCGGAGGACCATTTTGTGTTCTTAAAATTTAATGTGATACATATATATATATATATGTTTAATTAATAAAATCAACATCAACAGGTGAGTTTATATTAAAATAATTATGTATATATATGTGTGTGTATATATATAAATATATATAATTTAACTACTCATCAACAGAATTTTAATTTAATAAATTTATATATAAATATATATATATATATATATATATGTATATATACATAGATGTATATATATGTATGTATACATATACATATATTATATGTTGAAGTGTAGTTAAATTATATATGTTTAATTAATAAAATCAACCTCAAGAGGTGAGTTTATATTAAAATAATTATATATATATATAATTTAACTACACATCAACAGAAGTTTAATTTACATATATATATATATATATATATATATATATATATAGATGTATATATATACATATTCTATATATATATAACAATATTTTATTTTTTCTCAATAGGTTTTGTGTAAAATAAAAAACAAAAAAAATTATAATACCGACTTCCGTATATCGGTAAAATTAAATAGTAAAAATAAATTAATAAAAAATACCGACCTCATGAGGTCGGTATTTTTTATATTTAATTGAGAAAATAATAACGACATCAAGAGATCAGTTTTTATTGTAATTCATTAAAAATTCCGACCTCCTGAGGTCGGAATTTTTTCTCAATTAAATATTTCATAATATCGACTTCCGAATGTCGGTAAAAATTAAATAGTATGTAATTAAAATACCGACCTCATAAGGTCGGTATTTTTATTTCGACTATTAATTAAAGCGACATCCGGAGGTCGGTATTTTTATTTCATCTAATTACTTTTAAAAGCGACATCCGGAGGTCGGTTTGCGATTTGCGGGTAAACCAAATTCCGACCTCAAGAAGTCGGAATTTTTCCCAGAAAATGAATTACAATAAAAACCGACCTCTTGATGTCGGTATTATTTTCTATTTTGATTTAATTTTATTTAAATCGTTTTCCGGAGGTCCATTTTGTGTTCTTAAAATTTAATGTGATATATAAATATATGTTTAATTAATAAAATCAACCTCAAGAGGTGAGTTTATATTAAAATAATTATGTATATATATGTGTGTGTATATATATATAATTTAACTACACATCTTATATATGTTTAATTAATAAAATCAACCTAAAGAGGTGAGTTTATATTAAAATAATTATATATATATATATATATATATATAGATGTATATATATACATATTCTATATATATATATATAGATGTATACATATACATATATATATACATATATATGTATATGTATACATCTATATATATATAACAATATTTTATTTTTTCTCAATAGGTTTTGTGTAAAATAAAAAACAAAAAAAATTATATTACCGACTTCCGTATGTCAGTAAAATTAAATAGTA